TGATCCCTGAGGAGTAAATGGTTTGGGGCCATGATCCCATTCATTTTTATTCATAGATCATGCCTTTTAATTTCAGCAGCTTTATATGATCACAAAGCCAAAACCAGAATGTACACTCTAATCCCTGTCCCAATAAGATGTAAATGCAGAAACCATGGTAGTCTATGAATTTTAATGCTGATTTGTTTCTGTGCAATGAAAGACAGCTGTAAAGGAATACCTTCATAAAATAACTATCACAACCAATGGTACACAATGCTTTTATTTCCATTCACAATACACATTAACTACTACTACTACTACTACTACTACTACTAATAACAACAATAATAAAAAAAATTATTTATATGCCGCCCAACCGACTGGGTTTCCCCAGCCACTCTGGGCGGCTCCCAACAAAATATTAAAAACACGATAAAACATCAAACATTAAAAACTTCCCCAAACAGGGCGGCCTTCAGATGTCTTCTAAAAGTCTGGTAGTTGTTGTTCTCTTTGACATCTGGTGGGAGGGCGTTCCACTAGGCAGGTGCCACTACCTAGAAGGCCCTCTGCCTGGTTTCCTGTAACCTCGCTTCTCGCAGTGAGGGAACTGCCAGAAGACCCTCGGAGCTGGACCTCAGTATCTCGGCTGGATGCAGACAAAAATACATTATTTGGTTTATATACAAAACTTGCTGGATTGTTTTTGTATTGATGGTCCATGCACCCTAAGTTGGAGCAGCATATGCACTTTACACAGCTAGGTCCGTTTACATGATTACAATCTCATTCAGCACTGAGCCAAAAATTACCAGGTGAGTTTTGGAGGGATAAACACCCTTTAAAGAATATTGCGCAAAATATGCCACCTCCCCATGTATGCACAATTTTGTGACCAGCAAATATTTATTTATTTAATTTTATTAAATTTGTACATTGCCCTTCAATTCTATGGATCCCAGGGCAGTTCACAAAATAAAAATACAATATCAAAACATAATAAACACAAGAACAAAAAAAAGAACAAAAAACCTTCATAAACCAATACCCCACCCCACCCGCCTCACAAACACATTTAAAAGGGGTATAAGATGTTGATAACATGGAGCTCTCTTATGGGCCATTTTCATTGAGCCCTAGAAAATTCTAAGATGATGATGATAATTTTTATTATTATTATTACTACTATTATTATTATGTATTTATATGCTACCCATCTGACTGGGTTGTGATGCAGATTATCGTTTAGTGAGCAAGTCACTAATATAAAATAAAACTGACCTGAAAGCATTTTCATTTTGGTAATTTTATGTCACAGACAATTCCCCTCACCTCTACACACTTCTCTCAAGTCCCCTTGAGTTTCAAAATAGTCATCAACAGTGCGATTATAATCTATGACAGTGCCATTGTCGGGTTAACACCTGTATGTGCTGATATATGACTAGTACCGTGTTGCAACAAGCATGCAAATAAGTTTATAATTACTACATAGTTTAAAAAGCACTGAAATTGTCATAACTTTTATATATTGCTCCATTACAACCTTTAAATAAATGTTTTGATGGAGATCAGCAGTGCTGGGCCAATTTATTCTTGTCTATCATTAAAAGGCCTTACACAAAGAAACAATACTGTTCCACATCAAACTGTCACGAAGAGACATTTCCCTGCAACACCTGCTTGTTATGAATAGACACAGGCTAAGAACAGTTTATCATGATGAAGATAGCGATTCTTGCAAAGCCTTAAGGGAACCAGTTTTCATATAATGCAAGTAATATTTTAGAAATGTCTAAAATATACGTTCAGCGCAATGAACATATATTTGACTTACCCTATTACTTCCCAGAGATCAACTTTAACAATGTATTTACTTACAATTCAACAAAGTGGTCCCACTAGCAAATACCCACGCAAGGACTTCCACTAGTGGAACGGGGCTTTCCCCCTCATCTCTCCCCCCCCCCTTGCAAAATTTTTTGGTGTGTGTGGGTCAGGCAAGCTTGCCTTCCCCAGGGGAAGGAAAGGGGAGATTCTTTCATCAGGCAATCAAAACTCCTTCTGCTGATGGGGCCATCTCCTTTGCACTATGCTGACGCATTAGCAAAAAAAAGTTATCTGGGTGGTTTACAGTTAAAATACTAAAAATAAATAATAAAGTACAGTATAAAAATACAGCAACCAAGAAAGTACAGTGGTACCTCGGGTTAAGTACTTAATTCGTTCTGGAGGTCCGTTCTTAACCTGAAACTGTTCTTAACCTGAAGCACCACTTTAGCTAATGGGGCCTCCTGCTTCTGCCGCGCCGCCGGAGCAAGATTTCTGTTCTTATCCTGAAGCAAAGCTCTTAACCTGCGGTTTGTTGGGAGCCGCCCAGAGTGACTGGGGCAACCAGTCTCTCAGGACACTCTGCTGCCGGCTTCAAAGTTACTCGACAAAAAAAAGGCTTCAAAAGGAGGCTGCAGCATGAAATTGCTGAACTAGAATTTCTTGGCAAATTTGATTCTATTCAATTAAGACTTAATCAGGACTCTGGTCTTCTTTCTCGCTGCAGGTGTTAAATTAAGTTAGTGCAGCTGGAAAGACAGTCTTGTCGCAATGACTGCTGTTGCGAACATGTCATCCTGTTCTTACCCTGTGTACATTTGGGAACTCCGGGAAAATGACTCAGAGCTACTGCTGCCTTTCATATTTTAGTCTTTGCGCACCATAACGGTGTGTGTGTGTGTGTGTGTGTGTGTTTGTGTGTGTGTGCTTATATATACTTATTGAAGATAACACTGAATGTGTCTGACAAAGTGGGCTCTGGACCAGTCCATGAAAACCTCTGCCATGTGACTTTTGTTTGTATTTTAAGGTGCTAAAGGCCTATTTGATCTAGTGATAGGTGATTTGAGAAAAAATACGAGACTTGTTTGTATGGAGCAGAAATTTCACCCTAAATGATTGCCCCACAAAATATATCTGGTGCCTTTGTAGATCACTGAATACCATTTCATTAATATTTGCATAGTAGCACTGCTTCACTTAAATGAAAACTGTTATATAGTTGTTCATTTCAAATGGGTGGCTGGGCTCTTGTTCAGACACTTATTTAATTCAATTATTTAACTGTTTTCTTTAAACTGATGTGACAACCTCTCGTATTTGAGGTATGGTCTTTCAAAACATAAAACACAATCCTATCAGAAGTATGCCCTACATAGTTCGACGGGACTTACTCTTAGCCTGAAATACTTTACACCTGCATTTCACTTCATTGCTTATGATGTTGGCAAATGTTTATTTAAAAAACCCCAAATAGCTTTTAAAACAGATATGTTGTAGTGAGATCAGCTGTACATGTAGTAGGCTGCAATATAAATTAATAAAGGAGGCTTTTAGAGCTGATTTTTAATAAATAAAACTCATTTTTTAATTTTATTTTATAGGTTTTATAGCTGTTTAATTCAAAAGGAAAAGGGAGCGTACGTGCCCTGGTTGGCAGGAACAATTGGACGGGAGCTAATTTTAAATCGATCACTGCATTTAGGATCATCTGACTGATGATGGACCAGGGCACTTGAAGGTAGAAACTAGTAAAAGTTGCTTGTTTGGGTCATCCTCAAGTGAATTTCTACATGGCCTGGAATCCTCAACACTTCATTAGCCAGACTTTAATTGAGGGGTCCATTTTGTACCTGATGATGAACTTGCAAGTTTGCAGTAAAAAATAAATGTGCTGTCAACTTGGCAGATTCTGAGTTTTCAACTAAGCGCAGCCTCCAGAAAATTGGAAAGAGGTCAAGGGGAATCTGAAGTATCTTGAATTTTAGTTCAACGATGTCAAAGATTGCTTTGGAAACATTCATTAATCTTCGTGACATATTTGTGACATCACAACAGTTCATAGATGCTTAAAAATGAAGCTCATGGGTGACCTTTCTCAAGGTCATGCCAAGTCAGTAGAAGAACCTGGGAGTCAAGACTAGGGAGTCTGCAGGGGGTGGAATTCAGTTCAGGTTGAAGCTGAATCTATCAAATTTCCACTTTCTGAAACAGCATATGAACCAAAACACAGCAATCTCCCCAAATTTCCATGTATCTGAATTTTGCTAGGCAGTTTGCTATGCTCTGTTTACAGAAATCCATATATTAGGGGGAATTGTGAATAAAAACAACACAGGGAGGGGGAATGATCATATATAAGGAAATTGCTAGCAAAAATGTGTCCCTTAGTCAAAACTGCATATTAAAATGTGTTTATTGGGAGAAATTTGCACTAAAATACTGGCGAAGTTTCATTAGTATTCTTCCCCCTCCCCCCCACAAAAAAACACACAAATGGCTGCAAAATGCACAGAGAACTGAATTTAAGATTGGAAAAATGAAAAACAGAGAGCTGAAATTGACCGATTCTTCCATCCCTAGTCAAGACTTGTAGCTTTGCACTTGGTAACAATAACAACAACAACAACAACTTTGTACCCCGCCCATCTGACTGGGTTGCCCCAGCCACTCTGGGTGGCTTCCACATATATAAAAACATGACAAAACATTAAACCTTAAAAAGCTTCCCTATACAGGGCTGCAACAACATCTAGCAGTGACCTGATAACCGAATTGAGTTGCCTTGTTTTCACCATAAGGCTGCAGTCCTGTACACATTTACCTGTGAGTAACACAGCAATCTTTAATCAGGGCCTAGGAAGACATGGCACAATGTATCCACCACCATATCTGAAGCTCTGCCACCTTCAGCCAGCCAGGATGAAAGGTGTTTGGGAGCAATCGCTCCACTACTACTCAACCTTCCTTAACTGGTTCGGTTGAGCTTCCTTCTGCCCAAGTCAAATACACACCTGACTTATCCCAGGATGAACTGCATATTTATTTCACCAACAGCTCCTGCAATTGGGATCCTTGTCCTATTGGACCAGCTGGCAGAGAAGGTCATCAGGTGGGATCACCTGGTAAGGTTTAAAGAGCTATTGCTGAACTGGAATAAATTCCATGGTGAAATTAATAATATTGGGGTGCCATGGAGGGGGATAGATGCTTTTAAAGGCCATTGCACCTTCATTTTGATAAGTATCAGTGTGGTGTGATGTTTGTAGCTCACAGTATTTTGGATCACACACACACACACACACACACACACACACAGGCAATATTTTGGAGCCTCTTTTCCTGTGTTCCATTTTTCAGGTCCATAATGTATGCTGGCCTGCAGTCTGCCAGGTGGCTCACTTGACATACTTTGTGATGACTAACTCTGCGTGGTTTGGACAAAGTGATGCCAAGACGTTTCATCTTGCCCCAGTGACTCACAAGGCGGAAAAAATATTGCAGCATTTAGTTTGCAAGTATAATTTATGTTCTTTCAACTGATCTTGCTGTGGCCAGGCCAATTCAGCCATGAAAAGCGAGGGAAACGCATCGGTTCAAGGAGGGAAGTGCTGATCTATGAGAACAATTTTAGTTAATTAAGTGGACATTTCACAAGGGCGAGGGATCCACTAGTCCCCTTAAGAGAGCCAGTCAAATATGAAATACAAGGGATTTTGTTAGGGGAAATAAATGGACAGGCTGCAGATGGGGGGGGGGGACAGCTGGAATTTTGCTGCCTTTGTAGCTGAAAGAAGAGGATGGCCCAGTAGAACAAAGGGGTTCTGAGCTTATGGAGTTGAGGGATCTCCACTCTTATGTCATCCTTGTTGTCAAGGACAAAAGCTACATGGGCATTTGTACGAAGCGGGGTTTCCATTTTGCTATTTCATCCATGTTAGAAAAACTGTGAGGTATGGATATAATCATCCGGGCAGTGATGAGCTGCTTCACACAATCAGCTTCTCCTTTATTTAGAGGCACATATGGCAACCCGGCCAGAAGGCAGTCTAGGCCAAAATGTAAGAGGGAAATGGAGCTACTTTCCACCTGCTGCTACCTTCTTCCTGTTCTTCTTCAAGAAGATTTGCACCAGGACAGGGCCCTCTCCTCTGATTGTGGGAAATGCCCCAACTTTTCAACTGAAACCGAAGGAGCAGCTGGAGAAGATGAAACTGCGGGTATATCTACGGTATATTGTTGTCTCACCAGTTCACTTTTAATGCTCAATCCCTTTATGCATCACTCCCAGAAAACTGGAGTGGTAGTTTTGGGAACACTGAATGCCCGCTATTTGATGAAATACAGTAATTTATGACCAAGGTTATTTTTTTTCAGCGGAGCTCAGTTCCGGCACATTCAGGTGGGCGCCATTGCCATTCTAAGAGAATAAGGGAGAAGTTCATGGTCAGCTCTGGCACTTCTTTTTCTAGAAAAAACCAGCACTGCTTTTGGCATTTATTTTACCTCAAGAGCTTGGCCTATCCACACAACAAAGCTGCGTGTAGGCCAAGCCGAGAGTTACTGACTGACACAAATTCACCCAGTAACTTTTGTGGCTGAGCAATGGTCTGTATTACGCTGAATTCAGCTTGGTGATGTAGATGTTTGGATGGAGGAGAAATTCTATTCAGTTCAAATTTAAAGGCAAACTTACCTAATTCAATAGTAACACCACCTTTTAAAATTCGCATTCTCTGAATTTTGCAATGCAGTTCTTCAGCCAGGTAATGTGTACAAAATAATAATAATAATAATAATAATAATTTATTATTTGTACCCCGCCCATCTGGCTGGGTTTCCCCAGCCACTCTGGGCGGCTTCCATAGAAACCAAAAACACTAAAATATCATACATTAAAAACTTCCCTGAACAGGGCTGCCTTAAGATGTCTTCTGAATGTCAGGTAGTTGTTTATCGTTTTGACATCTGATGGGAGGGCGTTCCACAGGGCGGGCGCCACTACTGAAAAGGCCCTCTGCCTGGTTCCCTGTAGCTTTGCTTCTCGCAATGAGGGAACCGCCAGAAGGCCCTCGGCGCTGGACCTCAGCGTCCGGGCAGAACGATGGGGGTGGAGACGCTCCTTCAGGTATACTGGGCCGAGGCCGTTTAGGGCTTTAAAGGTCAACACCAGCACTTTGAATTGTGCTCGGAAACGTACTGGGAGCCAATGTAGGTCTTTCAAGACCGGTGTTATGTGGTCTCGGCGGCCGCCCCCAGTCACCAGTCTAGCTGCCGCATTCTGGATTAGCTGTAGTTTCCGAGTCACCTTCAAAGGTAGCCCCACGTAGAGCGCATTGCAGTAGTCCAAGCGGGAGATAACTAGAGCATGCACCACTCTGGCGAGACAGTCCGCGGGCAGGTAGGGTCTCAGCCTGCGTACCAGGTGGAGTTGGTAGACAGCTGCCCTGGATACAGAATTGACCTGCGCCTCCATGGACAGCTGTGAGTCCAAAATGACTCCCAGGCTACGCACCTGGTCCTTCAGGGGCACAGTTACCCTATTCAGGACCAGGGAGTCCTCCACACCAGCCCGCCCCTGTCCCCCAAAAACAGTACTTCTGTCTTGTCAGGATTCAACTTCAATCCATTAGCCGCCATCCATCCTCCAACCGCCTCCAGGCACTCACACAGGACCTTCACCGCCTTCACTGGTTCTGATTTGAAAGAGAGGTAGAGCTGGGTATCATCTGCATATTGATGGACACCCAGTCCAACCCCCTGATGATTTCTCCCAGCGGCTTCATATAGATGTTAAAAAGCATGGGGGAGAGGACGGAACCCTGAGGCACCCCACAAGTGAGGGCCCAAGGGTCTGAACACTCATCCCCCACCACCACTTTCTGAACACGGCCCAGGAGGAAGGAGCGAAACCACTGTATAACAGTGCCCCCAGCTCCCAACCCCTCTAGACGGTCCAGAAGGATGTTATGGTCGATTGTATCAATGGCCGCTGAGAGATCCAGCAGAACTAGGAAACAACTCTCACCTTTGTCCCTAGCTCGCCGGAGATCATCAACCAGTGCGACCAAGGCAGTTTCAGTCCCATGATGAGGCCTGAACCCTGATTGGAAGGGATCCAAATGGTCCGCATCCTCCAGGCGTGCCTGGAGTTGTTCAGCAACCACACGCTCAATAACCTTGCCCAAGAATGGAAGATTTGAGACTGGGCGATAGTTGGCCATACTGGCCGGGTCTAAAGATGGTTTTTTAAGAAGCGGTTTAATGACCGCCTCTTTCAGTGGATCTGGGAATGTTCCCTCACAGAGGGAAGCATTCACCACCCCTCAGAGCCCATCGCCCAGCCCTTCCCGGCTTGCTTTTATTAGCCAGGATGGGCAAGGATCAAGGAGACAGGTGGTTGGTTTCACGCGTCCAAGCAGCCTGTCCACATCCTCGGGGGTAACGGATTGAAATTGATTCCATGCAACTTGACCAGACAGGGCTCTAGCACTCTCCCGCCCCAGCCCTGCTCCCACGGTGGTGTCTAGCTCCTTCCGAATATGAGTGATTTTATCTGCAAAAAACTTTGCAAAATCGTTGCAGGAGATCTTGGGGTCTTTACAAGGCCCCGGTGGTAAAGGTGGTTCCATTAAATTGCGGACCACCTGAAAGAGTCTCCTGCTACTATTTTCTGCAGATGCAATAGAGGCGGTGAAGAAAGTCTTCTTCGCCGTCGCTATCGCCACTTGGTAGGCTCGACGTTGAGCTCTAACCTGTGTCCGGTCAGATTCGGAGTGAGTTTTCTGCCACCGACGCTCTAGCCGTCTCAGCGATTGTTTCATCGCCCTCAGCTCCGAAGAAAACCACGGGGCTGTCCGGGCTCCATGCAATCGGAGAGGGCGCTCGGAGCCAGACAGTCGATAGCCCTGGTTAACTCCGCATTCCAGCGGGCCACCAGGGAATCAGCTGAAAGGCCATCAACATGGGATAAAGCATCCCCTACCACTCTCTGGAAACCATTTGGATCCATTAAGTGGCGGGGCGGACCATCCGAATTGGTCCCACCTCCCTGCAGAGGGGAAGGGTCGCGGAGAAGTCCAGTTGCACCAGGAAGTGATCTGACCATGGCACTTCTTTGGTTTCACTTTTACTTAGTGTCAGATCACCCACATCACTAGAGGTGAATACCAGGTCTAAGGCATGTCCATGACTATGAGTTGGGCCCAACTTATTCAGGGACAGCCCCATGGAGGCCATGCTTTCCACGAAGTCCCGAGCGGCCCCTTGTAAGGTCGTGTCGGCGTGGATGTTAAAATCCCCTAGGACAACCAAACTAGGTGTCTCCAGGAGAACATCCGCCACGACCTGAAGCAGCTCGGACAGGGAATCCTTGGTGCAGCGGGGAGGTCGGTACACCAAAAGGAATCCTGTACTGCCCCTATTGCCCAACTTCCAGAACATGCACTCAGAAAACTGGGTCTTCCCAGTAGGACGCCTGATGCAAACTAATGACTTCCTAAAAATCACTGCAACCCCCCCTCCCCGCCCACATGACCTGGGTTGCTGTGCGTAAGAGAAACCTGGTGGGCAAGCGGCAGCAAGGACAGGCCCATCTGCTTCCTCCAACCAGGTCTCTGTCACACATGCCAGGTCAAATCCTCCATCCACAATCAGGTCGTGGATGGCAGTGGTTTTATTCATCATTGACCTGGCATTACACAGCAACACCTTCAGGTCATGTGGGTTTCCCCTGTTGATTCCAGTATCCATCCGGTCAAGGCCAGACCCGGAGGCAGGGATAGTCTTCAAACAACGACTAAACCTGCCTCCTCGGTAATGACATGGTCTGGTCTTAGCGTAACTCCTCCTCCTGCCCATGATCACCGAGATCGGATGTCCCAGTGCTTCCCCCCCTGTGGAACTTGTCCCAGCCATCGTGTTGGCTGGGGCCCCACTCCCAGGCAGCCCTGATCCCGCCCCTTAAAAACAAAACACAAACTATACAGAACCAATAAAACAACAGAAAACAAAAACAGAACAATTATACTAAAATTAATCCCCAACCAAATATCCATCCCACCCACCCACCCCCAACAAAGGAAAAAAGGAAAAAAAGAAATACAAATTTAAATTGCCACCGACTGCTTGAGGACATTTTAAAACACATTAACCACTTGGAACAGGGAAGCAATTGCAGAACACTTCCCAGCTTCCCCAAAAGTTTGTTCCAAATAAGGGCCTGGGCCACGCCCCCTGGGCCAGTTGGAAAAGGCCTTGGAAGGGAGCAGGCCCTGCAGTCCTCCCCACAGCCGATGGTCCGAGGCCTCACTGCAGCAGGAGTCCCTTTATAGCTGGGAGAGAGGGCCTGGGCCACGCCCCCTGGGCCAGTTGGAGAAGGCCCTGGAAGGGAGCAGGCCCTGCAGTCTTCCCCACAGCCGATGGTCCGAGGCCTCACTGCAGCAGGAGTCCCTTTATAGCTGGGAGAGAGGGCCTGGGCCACGCCCCCTGGGCCAGTTGGAGAAGGCCCTGGAAGGGAGCAGGCCCTGCAGTCCTCACCCAGCCGATGGTCCGAGGCCTCACCGCAGCAGGAGTCCCTTTATAGCTGGGAGAGAGGGCCTGGGCCACGCCCCCTGGGCCAGTTGGAGAAGGCCCTGGAGGGAGCAGGCCCCGCAGTCCTCACCCAGCTGATGGTCCGAGGCCTCACCGCAGCAGGAGTCCCTTTATAGCTGGGAGAGAGGGCCTGGGCCACGCCCCCTGGGCCAGTTGGAGAAGGCCCTGGAAGGGAGCAGGCCCTGCAGTCCTCACCCAGCTGATGGTCCGAGGCCTCACCGCAGCAGGAGTCCCTTTATAGCTGGGAGAGAGGGCCTGGGCCACGCCCCCTGGGCCAGTTGGAGAAGGCCCTGGAAGGGAGCAGGCCCTGCAGTCCTCACCCAGCCGATGGTCCGAGGCCTCCCCGCAGCAGGAGTCCCTTTATAGCTGGGAGAGAGGGCCTGGGCCACGCCCCCTGGGCCAGTTGGAGAAGGCCCAAAAGAGAACACACTGTGGTGATGCGTACATATAGATGCATATATTAATGAAAAATACTGTATGTACATTAGGGGTACATGATGCATACAAAAAAGGGCATATTAAGAGAAAATCGCTGGACTTAAAAAAAATAAAATCACAGATTGATGTGGAGAACTGAACCAAAACCACCACATTCACCCATCTTGATGTAGCTGCAGATCATTTATTACTGTAGATTACAGATTACAGTGAGTTTCTGTTATCTGTCGTATGTCTGATATCTGGTGCCTCTTTTCATTAGGTTAGTTCCTGCAGGGGTGCCTGTCACAAAGTGCTCAAATAACCACTTTAATCTTCTCATCAGTCGCTTTGCGAACAAGCTATTTTCACATTTTCTTCTTTGGTGCTCTGGTTTGATCAGTCTCAATAGAGTGCAGGGTGTGGATGCTAATAACTGCTTTTAATTCATCTGAGCTCCAGGCCATTTCATAGAAACTTTTCTTGGTACTGCAAGTGGTTTCCCATGCCTCAGATCCACCCTCACAAAGCCCAGATTCTGTCTTTCCACCAACTGAAGATGAGAAGCATACATGTATTGGCTTTTATCTGTTAATACAAAACAGTACTACATACTCAAAACAAGTACATTACAAAGCAAAAAGTAGGCCCCAACTCTCTTCGACCTATTCTTCTACCTGTTGCTCTCATGTGCATGTGCTCTCATGTGCTTGACTGAGGGTGGGGTGCACTTTCATTCAAGGAACAACAGGGACCTGTTCAATGTGGTATGTCTCCATGCCAAGACAAAAATGCAGAGGGTTCTTATCTGGGAGATGTTGTTTGAGGATGACACAGCCTTGACAGTGCACTCTGGGGAAGCTCTATAGACACATCAACTGTTTTGCCCAAGCCTCCATGGAGTTCGGCCTCACCATCAGCCTGACAAAGACAAATATCCTAGGTCAGGACACTGTCAGCACTCCACGCCTGAGCATTAGTGGTAGACGGTTTTGTCTACCTGGGCTCCACCATAACCAGCAACTTCTCCATCGGCGCTGAGCTGGACAAGCGTATTGGTAATGGCTCGCCTCTCCAAAAGGGAATGGGAGAATATAATGCTAACAACAAATACCAAGATGAGTGGGGCACAATATTATGATGGAGGACTGGGAGAAATTGTGGGGGGAAAGGAATTAAATTTACAGCATGTAGTGTATTAAGAGAAAATTTGATGAAAATGATGTACAGATGGTACTTAGCACCAGTGAAGTTAGCAAAAATGTATCATACTCATGATAATAAATGCTGGAAATGTAAGGAAAAAGAAGGAACCTTTTACCACATGTGGTGGACGTGCCCTAGAGTAAAAGACTTCTGGGAAAGGATTTATAATGAACTGAAAAAAAGTTTTGAAAAACACAACCAGAAGCTTTTTTACTTGGTATAGTGGGGGGTGAAATCCCCAAAAAGGATGTTACTTTTTTTCTGTATGCCACAACAGCTGCGAGAATATTACTAGTGAAGAATTGGAAGAAACAAGATTTACCAACTATTGAAGAATTGCAGATGAAGATGATGGACTATATGGAACTTGCCAAACTGACTGGCAGACTCCGAGATCAGAGAGAAGAGTCGGTGGAAGTAGACTGGAAGAAGATTAAAGAATATTTGAAAAAATATGTTAATATTTAAACTTTAGAATAGCTTTGGAAGTGGATATAGGCTGTAGGGTTAGAAGTAGAAGATAGTGTATTTTTAAAATAGTATTGCTTGTAAGGGATAAAATGTGAAGATTTTTATGGTAAAAGTGTGATAAAAAATGGTTAAAAATTATGATATATGTAAACTGCTAAAGATGAGCTAAAATGAAAATCAGATAGGTGGGACTTGGGGAAGCTCACCTAACAATGTTTAGGAAAAATAAGGATAAGACAAGAATTTGTGTGTATTGCTTGTTTTTCTGTTTATGTTGTTCATTTGTGTTATAAAATGAATAAAAAAAATTGGGGGGGGGGACAAATACCAAGATGAAGGTCTACCAGACTTGCGTGTTGAGCACTCTACTTTACAGAAGTGAGTCATGGGCAGTTTACACTCACCAGGATCAATGTCTTAATGATTTCCATATGTGCTGTATCAGGAAGACTTTGGGCATCACATGGCAGGACAGTCTCACACAATGATGTGCTCTTCCCAAACCCACATTCCCAGTATGTTTGCACTCCTGTCTCAGTGACGTCTCCGCTGGCTCAATCATGTACACAGAATGGAAGATGGCAGGCTCCCCAAGGATGTGCTTTATGGGGAGCTGGCTTCAGGCACCAGGCCCGTTGGCAGACCCATTCTGCACTATAAAGATGTTTGCAAATGTGACATGAAGGCTGGCAACATTAATCCCGCGATGTGGGGATTCCTTTGCAGGCGACCACAGTGGCTGGAGACAGACTGTCAGGTTGAGCATCAACAGCAGTGACCAGAGGAAAAATGACTGGAGGGAGGAGTGCAGAGAGAGAGGAAACACCATGGTGCATCAGTAACAGCAAAACTGGACACCTTCACCTGTCCCACCTGCAACAAAACATGCCTCTCCAAAGGTTTGACTTTATCTCCGACGGCACACTCTTCAATTGTCTCTCGAGACAACAAAATGTTAAGTAGACTAGAGCAAGACTACCTCAAAAGATGTCTCCAGTGTCCTTTCCCTGCCCTTCTGCCCAGGACTAACCAGACATCATGTTGTGCCTAAAGTAAACTCATGGCTGCAGGTCTGGCTAAACCATTAGGCAGACTGGGGTGTCTACTTCAGGCAGCAGATGCATAGGAGACAGGGGGCAGTAGGGTGATGGTTGTGGCCTGTCATACACACCTTGACCTAGTAGCCATCTGCACTATACCTTTAAAGCAGGGACGCGGGTGGCGCTGTGGTCTAAACCACTGAGCCTCTTGGGCTTGCCGATCAGAAGGTCGGCAGTTCAAATCCCCGCGACAGAGTGAGCTCCCATTGCTCTGTCCCAGCTCCTGCCAACCTAGCAGTTCAAAAGCATGCCAGTGCAAGTAGATAGATAGGTACCGCTGTGGTGGGAAGGTAAACGGCGTTTCCGTGCACTCTGGCTTCCATCATGGTGTTGCGTTGCACCAGAAGCAGTTTAGTCATGCTGGTCACATGACCTGGAAAGCTGTCTGTGGACAAACGCCGGCTCCCTCAGCCTGAAAGCGAGATGAGCGCCACAACCCCCATAGTCACCTTTGGACTTAACTGTTCAGGGGTCCTTTACCTTTTTTTACCTTTACCTTTAAAGCAGCATCATACCACTGTTTGTTCAGTTAGGTGTATTAAGTGACACCTAAAAAATGTATAGTGTGGATGAAAAAAAGGTGGTTGTGGAAAACCCATGCTTCATGTAAAATCCTATACAAAACACTCGTGGTATTTTCCAGTTTCTTGTGAAATGGCCTATAAGTTTTTACTGAGGAAAATCTCTGCTGGGAAGAGCCATGAAAGCTTCCTCCTTTGCCAAAGTCTCAAAACAGAATGGGTCTCCCATTGCTGCTATTGGAAAGAAATGATGGGGATATATTCATGCATTTCCACCCATACTATCTCGTTTGAAGATAAGATATGCTTAGGTATTTAAGGACAAAGCAGCTCACTGCTCCATCTCTAATGCCTACTCAAAATCTAGGCTTCAATCTGGGTTGTGAGATGGTAGAAGCACAACCATGGGTGACTAGTTGACCTGGCATTTTCACTAAAAAGGCATGCCACATAGTACCTAAATGTTTCATCATTCAAGGCAGCTGAAAGCAGGTATTATAAATATATAAAATAAAGAAAAACATTTGTACATTTACATAAATTACATAAATAACACAAATAAATTGCAAAAAAAAACATTAAAGGAAATGGAAACCTGCTAACAGAATAATGTGCAACTTTTTTTCTATTTGGATCAAGCACGAAACTTACAGCTGTAATAATAATAATAATAATAATAATAATAATTTGAATTTATTTAAAACATTTATTTACCTGATCTTCAAAACGATCCTTGTGAATATTTGGGCCTTGGTTGGAACAGGTTAGTGAACCCAAATGAAAATGTCTTATGATCACTGCAAAAAGCATTGTGGTTCAGGTTCTAATCAATTTATATAGGTTTAACAACATACCTTTACATGTGCTTGATTTCTGAATCATGCCCATGAATAATAAGAACACTGCTGACATTGATAAGCATTTTTTACTGCTTTCCCTACATACTCAATTACTTCATGTACCTTGTTTCAATAATCCTAATAATTATCTTGTAAGTCGTCTTCTTATATTGCAAGGGCTGAAGCTGTAACATGCTGACTTGCCTGAGGACATTGAGATGGTTCGTGATTGAGCTGAAATTTAAAGCTTCCCATAGATCATACTATAGCCAGGTGCAGATGATAATCTAGAAAGAACGAACAGGTACCCATAAATCTGGCAATGGGTCTCCATCATCTCATCTACTTTGGTAGTCAGGTGAGACATGAGCAGAGGTAATCTCTTGGCATGGCCCATGCTTTCAACCTGGTTGCTACTCCAAATTCACACTTAGTGAAGGAGGCTATAATTCATCAGGCTGCAGCAGAGGGAGTGGTGAGAATCAAGGCCATTCTGTAGAGATCAGCTCCATTCCTGCACCTGCTTTTATTCCAGCTGCTCATTATACTACTATGTATCTAAGCCCAAGTTTGCTTGTTTCCACTTCCCTCCTCTTTCCTCCTTCCTTTTGTGCCTTGTCTATTAGACTGTGGCACTGTGATCCAAACCCCGGCTGGGCAGCAGTGGTTAACAGAGCAATGGGAATGCCACCACATCCGCAGACCTGCCACTCATGCCGGTGGGGACAGACAGTGGGGGCCGGCTAATGGTTGCGCCAGGAAGGAGCTGGCACAGCAACCAACTGGGCTCCGGGGCTGTCAAGGGAGACTGGCCTGGGATCCAGTGGATCCAGGGTCATGCAACCCCTCCTTATCCAACATTTTGTGGGCTGCCGCTGGCAGTGAACCTCTCATGGGCACTTCTACCTGCTCACCTGTTCAGAGGACTGAATAGAGAGTCCATGCCAGTGGAGTGACGCCGGTAACATTGCACAGGTAGAGATCGGTGCAGGTCCGCAATCAAACCTCCCCTCTCCCCATCAGCCTGTTTTGGA